CATGAGGTTCATGAGCATGAGGCGCATCATGGACTCCTACTACTAAACCAAACTAAATAAACTGATTCAGTTCTGTAATCTAATTGTGTTTGACGGGTTTATTGACGGTGGAAGATCGAGGCAAATGGCCATGGTGCTCTGAGGTGTTGGAACTGAGTGAATCAGATCAGAAAAAGGGACAAACAGATTAGAAAATGCAAAAGAAGACACAAAACTGAAAAAAAGATAAAACGAAAGACCAGAAACTGAAATGGAAGGTTTTGTGGTTAAGGGTAAGAGTTTGGATTAGGTTTAAGGGGTTATGGTTAAGGGTTGGGTTAAGGGTTAGGGTTAAGGGTTAGGGTTGGGTTGTGTTAGGGTCAAGGGTTAGGGTTGGGGGTTAGGGGTTGGGGTTAACGGTTAAAGGTTAGGGTTGAGGGTTAGGGTTGGGATAGGGTTAAGGGTCAAGGGTTAGGGGGTAGGTTTACGGGGTAAGGTCATGGTTAGGGTCGGGTTGTGTTGTGTTGGGGTTTAGGGTTAAGGGTTGGGTTGGGGGTTAGGGGTTGGGGTTAAGGGTTAGAGGTTACGGTTTAGGGTTAGTGTTGGGATAGGGTTAAGGGTTAAGGGTTAGGGGTTAGGTTTATGGGATAGGGTCATGGTTAGGGTTGGGTTGTGTTGTGTTGTGTGGAACTCTTCCTCAGTGTGGTCCAGATTCCCCAAATGTCATCCAAATATCCACGACAACGAGCTGTCTTTTTAGGACATTTTTTAAGGCCTTCTTCCTCCATAAAAAATATATAGCGCTCCCTTTTACCTGCAAAAAGGACTCGTTGTTAAATTCTAAATCACTGCAGAACAGGTCGATTTGTGATAATTGCAGAATGGCATTGTCCTTTCTATTATTATTGGGGAATATTGGGGATATTTTCAATTGCCAGCATGCCTTCATTCGTTTCAATATCTGAATAAAGGCCGCCAGCATCTATGGTGAATAGGAGTGCTAGAAAGTCATAAGTGTCCTTTAACTAATTCAAATGCATGTTGGATGGTGGATTTAGGTAGTGGTCAGTGGGTTAGGGTTAGGGGTTTGTTAGGGTTAGGGTTTGTTAGGGTTAGGTTAGGGTTAGGTTCAGTTCTTATGAATTTTTGGTAGCAAATAAAATCTTCAGATTCTGGGTTCAATCCCTTCAATCAGGTAATAAAGTTGTCTGTGTTGTGGAAATTCTTTTTTAAGGCAAGAGTCCGTCTGAGGGAGTAAGAAATACAAATGTATTAAAAGATAAAACTTCATGAAGTGGGAGCAGCCAGCACGATCATACAAGAGGATCATAAGACGTGCCGAGCTGCTCTGAAGCAAAACAAAATCATAGAACATTTTATACCCCTCTGGGTCTGAGATGTCTCCATCATAGAGAAACCTGCACCTGTAACAGTCCTCAAGACAAAAAGACAAAACATTAAGATATAAAGCATAAGAAGAACTTCTCTGAAACCTTGAAGGAGTAAAGAGCCTCATGAAAAAGAAAAATAACCTTTAGAATATTCACTGATGAGAAGTGAAGAAATTGATTGTACATGTATAGATTTCGCCCACATCTAGTAGTGGTACATTTCCTGTCATATAATCCACTAAAAAGTCCAGTAATCATGGGGAGGGTTTCGTGGTATATAGCTGTAGTTTTTGTAGTATTTATCCTTCAGTTGTCCATAACCCTTCCCAATATATTGCTCCTTATCCGCGGTCCTAATTAGGTTATCCTTATAAGCCGGTTTAATGATGAATTCTTGACTATTTCTAAGATAAGTCTGCACCTTTTCTTCGGTCTGAGTTTATCAAAATACTCCAGGTCTCTTTTGATCGAATTTAAAATCTTGTCAGGGAGGTGGATCTTGAGGGAGGACTCAGTCGCGGAGATGCAAAAACAAGGGTTTTACTTTCAAGAAAAAAAACACTCAAAAGGAGTGGATGGCAGACATGGGTTCAAAACAAGGCTGTGACAAAACTAAGAGCAAAGTAACAAAGCAAGGAAGACAAAACTATAAACAAAGTACCAAAGCAATAGGGTTAACAAGGCTGTTGCATGGCTGTGAAAAAACATGGCTATGGAACAAAAACGAGACTATGGCATGGAGCAAAAATGAAAACCTTACATGGCGAGGGGTGACGAAAAGTGACGAAGACAAAAGCACAAAAACGCACTCCACAGGACATGGGAAACAAGGACTATTTAAACACATGAGGGAGGGGAACCCCAGGTGTACACAATAGGTAATCAAGACATGACGAGACACCAGACATGCCCCCAGACGTGACAAATCTGAGGTGGCATGGAAGCACCCGGTGGTACCAAGGATGACTCTGAAATAAAAGGCAGCCCAAAACTTTACTCGCTCTCTTTGAAATACTAGTTTGATTTGAGTTTACGATGATATTGTTGATTTGTTTCTTAAAATCAGCCCCCTTGTGAGAGGGAGTTGGGATTAAAAAAACAGGCCCCGGTTAATCGAAGTGAGCTGTGCATCGGTTACAAAGACTTTTTTAGCTAAAACCAGTTCACTCGTATTCGATGGCGGGTTCAGGGGGATCCGTGTTTTACCTGGTCGTCCATTTTTCCAAAATCAGCCAGGTGGTGGAAGCCGTCCAGTGGAGCTAGTATGGCCGGTAACAAAATATTTTTCAGGGAGGCCCGGAATGAAGTCACATTCATTAACAATAAAATCATTCAGTATTCTCAAGTTTGTTTTGTTTTTTCTGTGAAATGAAAATGAAATGAAATTAAAATGAAAAACTAATCTCGGGGATGTAAACTCCAGGGATTTTCATCCTCCAACGCCTCCTACAGGATATTATTCTCGGATATTAGGAACCAAAATCTCTTGCTAGTGTCCTTTAAGGGTCGACAGAGTGGTAAATTCCCAATTTCATGCATTTCCCTCCAAAAGAAGCTGTGTAGTGTCGTTGGGGAGGGCCGGTTTTAACAGATACATCAAGTTCTGAGTTGTTTTATGGATCTAGGGGAAGGTGTCTGGTCCCGATACGTTACCCAGGTGATGCATAGTTTGGCTCCTCTGATTCGGTTCTGGTTCTCTGTTTTCATGATGGGTAATCCTGCTCTCTGGCGGGTGACTTTGTTTTTTAGAGAGTTCTTTTTTGTGTGGGAAAAGATTTTAATCCCAGCGCGAAGCTGAGAGAGAGCAAAAAGTTCTTAAAAAGGGGGGTGTATTTTGAGGCTCTAAAAACCAAAGGAATTCCAGGAGAATAGGTGAGGAAACACTTATCGTTTTAACCTTTTGTTTGCATAAAATTGCAGTTTATTTGCTGCCAGTGCATTAAAAGGTAAGGAAAAAAATAAAGAATAAAAAGATGCAACGTTTCGGTTCAATGAAGAATCTTCATCAGGCAATAAAACCAAACATCAAAACCTACACAGTACCTCTTGGGTTAGGGATTTGGGTTAGGGTTAGGAGTCAGGGTTAGGGATTTGGGTTAAGGATTAGAAATAGAGGTAAGGGTCAGGGGGAAGGGTTGGGATTGGGTTAGGAGTCACGGTTTGGGAGTTGGGTTAGGGTTAAGAGTCGGGGTTAGGGATTTGGGTTACGGATTAGAGATAGAGGTAAGGGTCAGGGGGAAGGGTTAGGATTGGGTTAAGAGACGGGGTTTGGGAGTTGGGTCAGGGTTTGGGTTAGGGGTTAAGGATTAGAGCTAGGGGGTAGGGTTCGGATAGGTAGGAAGTCGGGGTTAGGGATTTGCATTAGGGTCAAGTTTAGGTTTAGGATTAGGGATTTGGGTTAAGGTTTAACGATGGGGGTAAAGGTCAGGGGGTAGAGTTAGGGGTTAGGGAGTTGGGTTAGGCATAGGGATTAGAAATAGGTTACCCTATAGAGATAGGGGTTATGTACTCGAGTTTTAGCCTCTCTGGGTCTAGATATGGATAGATGCTCCATCTTGGCTCCAACCCAATTCCAGCTCATAGATCTGGGTCTTAGTTTTCTCTAACTCTGAGCTCCACCATCCAGAAGGAAGTCGGAGGAGGGAAAGGAGCCACAGAGGGGGTTCATCTGGTTAGGATGGTCCTGGTTCCTCCCTGGAGGCTTTTCAGGTCCGCCGACTGGGAGAGGAGCCTGAGGCAGAACCGGAATTCTCAATTCAATTAAATTTCAATTCAGTTTTATTTATATAGCGCCACATCACAACAACAGTTGTCTCACAGCGCTTTCCAAACAGAGCAGGTCAGACCCTACTCTGAAGTTAACTACAGAAACCCAACAATTCCCACCATGAGCAAGCACTAGGCGACACAGGCAAGGAAAAACTTCCTTTAACAGGCAGAAACCTGGAGCAGAACCATGGCTCAGGGTGGGCGGCCATCTGCCTCGAGCGGTTGGGGGTGAGAGAGAGAGAAGGTAAGAGAGAGAGGGAGAGAAGGACAGAGGGAGCAGAGAGAGGCAGCCAACACAGCAACACAAATTCTCCTGTTGGGGTTGGGAACTCCTCGGGACCCCCAGGAAGAGCTGAAGAGGAAAGTCTGGCTTTAATCCTGAATCTGCAGGATCGGAGACCAGAACTCGGACAATCAGAGGAAAATGGATGGATGGATGAGATTGTCTGAACCTCTCCTTGGATCTGAGGAGGATGTTTGGAGGAAAAATAAAGGAAAACAATGATTAAGAATTACCTGTCAGTCTTCATTTAATCCACAAGTTTTTAAGTTGTTATGAAAAGTTTCGCTGAAAAATTATCTAATTTTCTAGTTTTCCTGAGAACACAACCAGAGATTAGGTTAATTTATCAAGAAGAAGAACTTTGTCAGAATATTTTTTTTTCTGATTCCTTATTTACTTTTCAGTCTTATTCACGAAGTTTAACAATAATAATGGCACCATGATCTACATATTTTTAAGGATACTTTCATCTTTTAGAGTGACGGCATCATGATGACCATCTTTTATCTGCTTTTATCTAAACTTTTTAAGGGTTTGGTCATTTTTGTAAGAGGAGGGGTCTTTAAACTCCGACCATCCCCAAACTGACTCTAAATCCTGATTATTTGTTCTCTGGTTTTAAGCTTCTTCATTATTCTGGACAGAAAATTGGATCAATGATCTGAAAAAGCTTTTTCCAATTTGGTTTGTTAGATTTAGATTAGATTGAATTCTCTTTTATCATTTGACCTTTTTTATGTCCTGATTTCTGGAAACAGAGCACTTTCATGACGTTTTTAATTGTTAAAAAGTTGTAAGAGATTTTTTTTAATCGATTTCGGCTACATTAGTTTAGATTTTTAAGTTGTTCAATGTGATTGTTTGTATGGCTGCAAAACGGTTAGCAATTTAATCTCTTTTTTTTACAGGATTTGTATCTTTACTTTAGGGTTAGTTTGAAACAGACTAGTTTGTTAGCAAATAGGGGAGTTTGCTGGAGTTTTTCTTTAACTAAATAGAGTTCTGAAAGGAAAATTCTGCCCTCAGGTCACAACCCCACTAGCATAAAGGTGAGCAACTCCAACCCTATAGGCCTCTGTGGGACTCTGCTGGCTCAGGTCTATGAACAATAGGAGGGCAAACAGTCTTTGTGCCACTCAGGTATAAAAGTAAGGTGTTCACACAGTCAGGGCATCAGTTCAGCAGCTGGGATCTGAGAGACCTGACCCACCCCCACCGCAAACATGGGCAAGGTAAGAGCACACCCACAGCCCTGGTTTCACCTCAGATACAGCTCCTCCTGCGGATCATAACCCCTCCTCTGCTTCCTCAGATCATCTTCTACGAGGACAGGAACTTCCAGGGGCGCCACTATGAGTGCATGAGCGACTGCGCCGACATGACCTCCTACCTGAGCAGGTGCCACTCCTGCAGGGTGGAGAGCGGCTGC